TTCTCCACTTTTTCTTTCATATTCCTTTTCTACATCTTCAGTAGGATTAGGATACTGTACAGCACAGAACGCACAAACACACAGATATGGATGCACAAAACACACACACACAAACACACAAAATTCCAGTCAATCAATTGAAAGAAGAACCATTTACACAAAGATCAACGTTTTATGAAAGGTATCGTTTAAATAACTATCGTTAGTTCTATGGCAGCAGAAAACCTCCAAACTCAAGTGACTTTTGTCCTTCTTCACAGTCTGTATATATACTGTTAAATGCAGTCAGTAAATTGAAGGCAGGGGGAGTGGGAACAGAGATACAACTCTGAGGCTCACTTTGAAAGACTTTATTTGAGTCTGAGGGAATATTAATTTAGAAATCCTGAGGAGTTTCCCTACTGATCCTGGAGACTAGAAGAAGCCACACAGCGTATTTTACTTTTCTAGAGGGAGTTGTTAGAAGAAAATGCAATGCTTAAATAATTTCAGGCACAGAAATTTATTACCTAATGACCCAATCCAAAGGCTTATTCTGGTAGAGAAAAAACAGATTGTTTGGAATAAGCTGGCTGCAAAATCAGAGTGAATGATGGGTTTGGGGTGCATTAGTCAGCATTGTAACCTCACACACCAGTGTGAGGTTTTATTTCAATCTGATAGGCTGCCTTTAAGGGTGGTAGAAATCATTCATGTTATATAGGATACGGCTGCCTGGCAATTATGCTACCCACCAGTAATCTAAAACCTAACACTCTGGCATTTAGACACCAGAGCAAAGCAGCATTAAGGGCCATCTCATGAGAAGAGAAGACTCCCTGGAAAAGTGTGAAGGCAAGAGGAGAAGGGGATGACAGAGGATGAGATGGTTGGACAGTGTCATCGAAGTTAACAACATGAATTTGGCCCAACTCCGGAAGACAGGAGGGGCCTGGAGTGCTCTGGTCCATGGGGTCACGAAGAGTCAGACATGACTAAACGTCTAAACAACAACATACTTCTTCTAGTTAAGCTGCATGACTAAACGACTAAACAACAACATACTTCTAGTTAAGCTATTTACCTCTAATATTGAGATCTCCTCAGACAAATATGTCAAAAGTTAGACTTGCAAATTAAACCCATGCTATATGCCCAGTGACCAATCGCAAAACAAAGCACACTAAATCCAAGATGTAGAGTTGAGGGAAAGCATGTGCTAAGAAAAACAGGCATATTTCTTCATTTGACAGAACGCACCCCTCTTCTAAAACCAAGTGCTATCCCTTAGTTTGACACGCACAAGCACCCAACCTGATGTATGCAACAATATGCCTGACTGTTTGCCAAAAGACGGAGCTGCTAGTCTGTTTGCTGCTGCTGTCAAGCAACAGAGTCCCATATTTGCAATACTAAGAGGAATCAGGTAACATTAAGGACCAATAGTGCCCCCTCCCCCCGGCTGTTTGAAGCTGCTGGATTTTGGTGCAGTCCTCTGTTTGGGGAACTTGTTTGTTGAAGAAAGACTAGGCTGCCTACTGACTAGCTGACTTATTAGCAATCAGTCTCAACTGCTCCCACGCGCAAAGTTTATTCACCTTTACACTGATAGCTCCACTTCATTCTTAAAACCACAGCATTCACCGTCAAAGTATCCATATTCACTTAGGAGTATTTACTGATTTTGAAGAGGGTAATAGAGGACTGTTCTTGACCCGTGGAATAAAAGAACCGCACCTCAACAGGTGAGATAATGTGTGAGAAAGACTCTTGAAAACCATTTCACACATTACATTGAGTACGTGGCCAAAGCAAAGCGGGACCATGTGGACAGTTCTGCCAACTCAACCATGTGTTTGATTGACTATTGGCATCGCACCTAAGTGTGTGCTACAGTAAACATGCACAGCCCATCTCTGAATGGGTCATATGCTTCCTATGTCACAAGTATTTCTTACATGTTTATTTATTCTTACAAATCACAGCTTGCTGAGATTTCATTGAAACCACTGGCTTCAATGTACATTTCCTATAAATTATGTATGTCAGTGTGTGTGTGTGCGTGCAATTGTCTAACTAGACAGACAGACAAAGAGATAGCAAAATCTTCTTGGACACACGGCTCTAATGGTTCACATTAGAGATGGGCAGGAACCGCCATTTTGGCAGTTGATCCCAGTTCAGTTGGCCCGCCACACAGCTGACCTGCGGTTCAGCACCCTGCCCCTTCTGGTGAGCACCCACTTGGAGGCAACACCCAGAGAAGGCAGGACACGAAAGCCAGGCCACTGGCTTCAAGCGTTCACTCACCAGAGGAAGCAGGATGCCAAACCATGGATCAGCTGTTGGATCAGTAAATGAACCATGCCAAATCTCTGAAACAGCGGTTCATGCCCATCTCAAGTTCACACGTTCCTGTCAATGATTTAGAATATTCTAAAAGACAGCAACTGCAGCAGAATGTTGGTTCTGTTTCCTCTTATTCAGACAAAGCACAATTCTGGGCAGTCCTTCTAATGTTGACTTCCATCAGAAGAAAAAGTGTGAGTTCTGTGGAAATATGTCCCCCTCCCCATCTTTGCGTATCTCCAAATTGAGAATCAAGATGGACACCAAAAATCTAAAAAAACTCCCACATAAGGTTTTCTTACCTGGAACATATAGAAACTGACGTGTCAGTAGTCTGCAAGCATGATCGGACTTTTGGACAAGAGGTTAGCGCAGGCTGCTCAATCACTGCCTCAGTTTTGCCATCTGTAAAAACAAGACAGTAATTAAATGGAGTAAAGCACAAAAGAAATAAAAGCTATTCCTCGCCTAATAAAAAGATATCAGTTACATGAACAGCTTGCTTACCTGTAACTGTGGTTCGTTGAGTGGTCATATGTGAATTCATCTAATTGAGTTTTACGCCTGTGCAGAAGCCCAATTGGAATATTCCAATTCCAGAATCGCACAGCTGAAACTAAAGCTTTTCGCCACCCCCATTATGCTGTCTGCATGCTCCAAGTCACCTCCAGCTTCCTCTTAGTCCACCTCGATCTGTCACCCAATAGTCAAGAAAAAAAGCATGGGAGACAGAGGGAAGGAAGAACTGTGCAAATTCACAGATTATCACTTGAAGACACACAGTTACAGGTAAGCATCCTCCTTCTCCTCCTCCTCCTCCTACTCTTCTTCTTCTTCTTCATGCTTTCTGTGAATCAGGCAAAGCAAAGCTTTGGGATGACTTACATAATTCAATATCAGAGGATTGCTGACATGCCAAAAAAGATCACGGTTATATCCTACTATGGGATACACATGTCTGCATATGCACCAATCCCACGGGGGACATGTAAGATGGAGAAGAGCTATGGAAGGAATTCCACCTTGCTTGTTTATATAAAAAAGAACTTGGTATTGTCAGTCACAATCTGTACCACCCAACTTCTCACCAGAAGCTTGAAAGCTTTCAAGGCTTTGAAAATAGCTAGGAGTTTGAGACAACTGATGTAATTCTCTCTCTCGAGAAGACCTCTCTGCATAAAAGTGTTCCAGCAGTGAACTCCCCAGCCTAGGTTGCTGACATTTGTGGTAATTAGGATCAATGGCTACAGCTGCTTAAATGGAATGTTCATTGATAGATTGTGTAGATATAGCCACCATTGTAATTGCAAAATTAGTTATGAATGAAGTGTGAGTGTTTTGAGAGCTAACCATCTATATAGGGGAATGCAAATTGCAAAATTCATCAAAATTGCTAATTAGTCAATTCGTATTCATTCAAATTGATACCCCTGATGAATATGAATTGATGATTCTTTTGTTATTTTTGATGATTTGTTGGGCTATAAAACATCCCCCTAGGCACCTAGAGACACCAAAATTGCAGAGAAGCTTCCTCTGACTCTCCTCTACAATCCTTCCATTTGTGATTTGTCAAGGTCGATGAATCACAAATAATGAATTTGTGTTTTTTTCCCCTTACGAATGATGAATCAATTTGGTGATTCATTTTTTATACAATCCCTCCAAGTTTGGTGACGATTGGGTTTTCCCCAAGTTATACACTTTGTGAGTTTATAACTTGGATGTCCAAAACCCAGTCTTCACCAAACTTGGAAGGAGTATATAGGAGAATCAGGGGAAGCTTCTGTGTGCTGAGGAGGCCCTCTTTGTGGGTATATAACTCAGACGTCCGAAACCTAACCTTCACCAAACTTGCAGGACTGATAGAGGAGAGTTAGACCCCTAGTTGGTAAACTTTTCACTGTTGTTGTTGTTGTTGTTGTTGTTGTTGTTGTTGTTGTTGTTGTTGTTGTTGTTTGTTGTTTGTTGTTTGTTGTTTGTTGTTGTTTTAATGTTCTATGCTTTGTCTCTATGTGCCTTGGGGCCATTTTATATGGTTTTAAATGCAAAAAAATGAATCAACAAATTGATTCATCATTCATCAGAAAAAAAATCATAAATTTGTTATTCGTGATTCATCAACCTTGATGAATCACAATTTTCCCAATCTATGCCCAACTCTAGCTGGTAATATTCGTGATTCATCAACCTTGATAAATCACAATTTTCCCAACCTATGCCCAACTCTAGCTGGTATCCTTTTCACTGTTGTTGTTCTGAATGTTCTATACTTACATGTGCTAACTAGTCTATTTATGAAAACAACACAGAACAATGAAAAAGAGAACTGCAGCTAACAATACCCATCATCAGAACTGTTCTATACAGACCAATCATTGTCCCATTCCTGACCACTTGCATGCTCCAAATGTATACTTATAAACTCTCTCACCCCTTTGTGGAAGTGCCTGAAACGAACACAGGAAAAGAACTAAGATAGTCTGTATTCTGTATTGTTTTCCTTCTCCTGAGATCACAAACATGGAATATACCTGTAATATTACATTCTCTCTTCAATTAAGACTTAAGTTAAAGGAGAGAAGTTTTTAACCATTTATTCAGGGGAATACTTACTTGTATTAGTCTGAGGCAGCAGGAAAACTTGTGGCACCATAAAGACTAACACAATTTATTAGCATATGTTTTCTTGATCTCTATACTGGATGTATAGAATGCAGCCATATACAGTAGAACCCCTATATTCATAGGATCAGTATCTGTGGCTTCCATTATCTGCAGTATGAAAATATTAAAAATGTTAAAAGAAAAACTCCAGGGATACATGTTTCCATGATTTCATTATCAGAACTGACCACTAGAGGGAGGCAGAAACCATGCTATGTATAGCATTTGCTATTATCCATAGTTTTTGGCATCGATGGGGGTCTTAGAATTGATTTCCCCCCCCCCCAGATATGGTGGTCCTACACAAATGTTTTCTGTGTGTGTGGTTGGTTTACACTCTATACTGAAATGGGTTTTCATCCATTAAAGTTTAATTTAATTTATATGCTGCCCACACTACCCAAAGGTCTCACCTTTCGGATTTTCAGAACATACAAGGCCATAAATTGATGCCTACTTTTCATCCTATTGCAATATGCATAATCTCCTTTTACCCAAGACCTCTTAAGAATCTGTTTACATATAACATTTTAAAAGGCTATCAAAATATGTAATGCATGAATAAGACAATTATGGTTTTGGAAATACATACTAGCACAATCAGAGAACAAGGTGTAATTCCTTTACACGCACTCAACTGAAAACCGAATTCAACTGAATTCCTGTTATTTAGCACAGTAAGTTGCAACTAGACTGTTGATTTAATGGGCCTACTCTAGTAGGATTTCAGTCAATATTTGGAACAATCCTTAGGGCACAAACTGCTGTACAAAGACGGCATATGTTACGTACTATCAGTGAGTTCGGCACAAAGCAGTAGAAACCAAAGCGTAGGGCATAAAAACAGAGTTTAAGGCACTAATGGGAGAAAGGGGATTAATAGTGAGAACTGTACAATGAAACGTAGAAGCTCATCCATTATGAGGCATGTACTCAAGTACAGCTCAGCTTATACCCATCCAGACCGTTCCTCACTGTCTTCTTACTAGACAAGGATGGTCAAGTCTAAACTTATGTTCCCCTTGTGCTTGAACTCCCTACATCATCAAACTTTGTGTGAATGACTGTGAGAGCAACTACACTGCAAAATACTATGGGTATCATTCCATAATTGGCATACTTAAATCTATAATATTTTCCACCAACTACATGATCTACGGCTAAATGTGAATACACCCTCCTCATTCATTGTTTTTTTGCTTTGCCAGAAAGGGCTTCTACTTTTCTGAAAGCAAACCTGTTTGTGTGCTGGGAAGAGAGAAAAGAAGTAAGTAAAGGAATATGAGTGGAAAAGCCAACATACTAGCTTGGAAACAAAACATGAAAGGAAACAGCAGCAACTCAGAATATCCTCAGATGTGAAGTAAATGAATGAGGTGAGGCTATGCTAAGGACCAAGACCAGACATTAGAGACAGCTCACAATTAGAACTGAAAACACATTAATATTGCCGAGAAGTGACTGAGGAAGTCTTTCGGCTTGTGAAATGACTTCAAATGTATCCCACACTTAAGTCCTGAAGACCAGTCCCCAAATAAAGCAATTTTATTTATTTATTTCCTACTTCCTTTCAACAATTATTTATTTATTTTATTTATTTATTTGATTTATATCCCGCTCATCTGGTAAATCTATACCACTCTGAGCGGCTAACAGGAGCATGTATACAATTATAATAAAATAAATTAAAAATATCAATTAACAGAAAATGACAAAAATCATAAATAATCGTAAATAATAGATAAAGAAGAGAAAATAAATTAAGTTAGATTAGGTGCTGGCAGGAGGGAAGGCCTTGACATAGAGCCATGTTTTTAGTTGAGTTTTGAATGTACCCAGCGTAGGGGCCGCGCGAATCTCAGGAGGTAGATTGTTCCAAAGGCGAGGAGCCACCACCAAGAAGGCCCGGTTTCGTATATAAAGCTTATTTATATACAGTAATCTCAAATATAACATATGTTCACTTTGTAACACTTGAAGGTTAGTTAAAAAAATTCCCTTTTCCGATCAGAGTTTATTTGTTTCTGGTCAAAGTGAAAGTCTTCTGTTGTACAGGTAGGAATGAGACATGTTCATCTCCGCATGGGTGTCCTTCTGTGTCCACTATTATCTGGTGTGTTTATATGAATACTTATTTTTGCACAAAGCTACCAAAGATGGGATGCAGGAAGACCTGGGAAATGGATAAAGAACAAGGCTGTGTCTGAGAGGTCCACAGAGGCCCAGACAGAGAGGAAAAAAGCTACTTTTGGTTGGTGAAGAGAAGGTTTAACAAAGATGGGAGCACAGCTTTGAGACTGAGGGATAAAAGAGATACTATCAGATGTCGTACAGGGAGCAAAATGAGGAAAGATGATTAATGGAATATTCACTTAAAAAAGGAAATCCTAGAATAAAATGTGACAAAAACGTATTCCACTATTGGCATTGTGGCCTTCCCACTTAATAAATTAATGAAAATGTAAGAATGTGCTTTGATGTAATTCGACTTGTATATCTTGATCTACATGTGTAATTGATTCAATATACCTGGGATACTGGGGTGTTTTTTTTTCCTCTCTCTCTCTCTCTCATGCACACACACACACATATTCTGTCTCTATCACACATAAACATGCACCCTGGTGTTTTTCAAGGCATATAGGTCCATAAATTAGCTCCAGAAAATTCAGGAACCAACTTACCACGTGCAGTTTTGCCGTGTAAGCTGTACAGAAGTCAGCAAACATCTCCTCATT